TATAAGAATAGATATATTTAAAAGAGATATATGCCTTTATATTGTACTCGATGTATCAGTAATTTATCTAGAACCACTTCATACTTTACTATAGTTCAAAAAAATGTATGCGCAGATCATTTAGCAATAACTCATGACGAACAATGTTTGCCACTTTGGTAAACTATCTGAACACGATATTTGTTTGAAGAGCGAACAAGAATTAACATCATCTTTTTATAGGCTTCTTTTAAATCCTTTATTTGGTTTTCCTTTTGATTGAAACTCGATAATAAAAAAGATAAATTGGAATATGTACACAATATATGTACTCTTTAATGAATTTAGGCTTTTGATATAGACTTTAGGATAGGCGATTAGAATCAAAACGATCCGAGTTGAATAATAAGACGTAGTACTGCGTTTAACAAAAGAAGAGTCGACGATCTTAACGACCGATAACAGTAAATGATGTCTGAAATTTGTAGTATTACTATTATCGTTAATTACTGTGAGGTCGGAAGCGTTCAAGTTTTCTGGACAAGACATCACTTTGGAAACAGGATTACAAGTAATCGATCAAATTTTTGATTCTATTGAACACTAGTCGACTTGACGTTTAGTTTTTATTTCGATTTTCTTGTAATTAAGAGTTGCGAAAATGACGATGATGATGTCGTTTTCTCTGAACGGCATTTGTGGTAACAATTTAACTGAAAAACAAGTTAGACTCATGCTTGCATTCAAGACTATTATTGAAATGAATTATTTAGGAAATAATCTTGAAAATAAATATTATCTTATTTGCCTGCATGCTACTTGAAATACTCATCTTTCAGTTTATTTGAACATACAGATAATTTTTCATTCTATTTTATATTTGATCAAATACTTTATAAAATAAAATTTCAAGTACTCCCTAATGCTACATACATATGAGCTTCTTGACTAGTGAGTAGTCCAAAATTATGAAAAATGAAAATAGAGAATATTAATAACTCTTTTTTTTATCTGCTGACAAAACATATGAAACACATTTGTATAATCAGATAATAAATAAAGTAATTGTAAAAATATGTGGAAGACTGAGTCAGCTCCACATTCTGCACTCACTTCGTTATTTTCCATAAAAAGTTGACTAACGCCATTGTCGTTCGACGGAAGGAAGAAACTACGATAAACCTATATTTAACTATAATTTATTTCAAAGTCTAACACAAAAAACACATTTTTACAAAACTAAAAAAAGAGACTTCGTTTGGTAATTAAGGAGCTCGTGCCATATCAACACCAATACTTGTTTGTTACAACCTTTTATTTTAAATAGTTGTTATTACTATTTGACTCAACTATTTAAAATTATTTCGAAATAATCTATTTCAATAAAATAGGAAATAAAGTTATCTTTCGATTATTATTTG